GTTGGGAATGAGAAAGCTGTGAGCAAAAGGGTGCATGGGCCCCACAGCCCATCCCAGCGAAGGGGAAGAGGTTTTGGATGACTCCAGCAAACCCCGAGCTTGTTATTCCTTGAATTCTTGACGTGGGATGGCCCACGGGAAGACGCTGTCGGTCAGGTTCTTCACAGATTAAGATCTGCTGTTAATGCTGTGCAAAAAGCCCGAGCCTTGTGCTCCCATACGCCCATCTGTGCGTGTGTTTGGTCTTTTCTCAAATATATTCATTTTCTTATAAACACATGGCCTTCCTAAGCCGCTCTCCACCTCAGGCCACCATTCCCGCTGTCACAGGAGGAACCTTGGGGACCTCGCTTCACTGTGGCTGCTCTAATTAAAGTCCACGTGGAGGGCTTCAGGACTGCCCTTATGTGTTTGTACCCAGATATTACAGGAAAAAGGGGTTGTGATCTCCTTTTCCCCTCTTCCTGAAATAAATGCAATGGGATTAAAGGAGGGAAGGGCCAGGACATTGCTGGTATCTCACTGCAGAGAGACCTTAGCGGGATTCGGTCTCCTGGCTGAATAAGGAGTCTAACGGAGCTGTAATAAGGCTGGATTACAAAATGAGGATTTCTTATTTCCTCTCTGAGAGCTGCTGTCAAGATCACTCGGAATATTTTGAGCCAGCAATGTGCCCTTGCGGCCAAGAAGGCCAACGCCATCCTGGGGTGGATGAGAAGGGGTGGTTGGAGGGCAGAGAGGTTCTCCTGCCCCTCTGCTCTGCCCTGCTCACACCACAGCTGCAATCTTGGGTCCAGTGCTGGGCCCTCAGCTCCAGAAGGACAGGAACTGCTTGAAAGAGTCCAGCAGGGCCACAGAGATGAGATGCTGGAGGGAGTGGAGCATCTCCTGCTGAGGAGCGGCTGAGGGAGCTGGGGCTCTGGAGCTTGGAGCAGAGGAGACTGAGGGGTGCCCTCATTCCTGGGGATCCATTGGGAAAGGGCAGTGTCAGGAGGAAGGAGCCAGGCTCTGCTCTGGGATGTCCAATGGCAGGACAAGGGGCAGTGGTCCCAAGCTGGAGCACAGGAGGTTCAAGCTGCAGATGAGGCCAAAGTTTGTGAGTGTGAGGGTTCTGGAGCATGGCCCAGGCTGCCCAGAGAGGTTGTGGAGTGTCCTTGTGTGGAGACCCCCAAAGCCCTGGCCGTGTTCCTGTGTGACTGCTCTGGTGATCCTGCTGTGGCAGGGGTTGCACTGGGGGAGCTTTCCAGGCCCCTTCCAACTCCTCATATTCTGGGATTCTGTGATTTAGGCAGCTAATGTGTCCATTACCTCCAGTCTCCAGGGAATTGGGGTTTCGGGGCCACCAGCTATGAGCTAGAAGAAGAAATTTGTAGCCTTTGTGGCCCATTAACTCACCCAACGCTTGCCCTTTGTGGGGCGCAGCCGTGACACACTTAATCATGCTATTTCAAAACTGATTATTTGAACAAGGATAAAACTCAATAATATGAGAACTCTGGAGATTAGGGCGTATCTTTTTCCTGTTGCATGTCTTCCTTGCACCCTTACTCAAGTGGGTGATGTCTGCAGGCCTCACCGCAGCGTATTCAGAATTATCATCCCACTCATTTTCCCAAAAGTTGGCTTGTGAAATCCCAGTTTGGCAAATACTCGAATGACCGGGGATTTTGTAATTATATCTGTCATATCGGAAGCCTAATGTGGATTTCTCAGTCAGCTCTTTTGCTCGTGATTCAGTTTTAATCCGTGATATTGTATTCATCGAGCTTCTTTCCCTCAACTGGAAAAAAAATACCATTCAGCTGATGGCATCTTTCTGTTACTGAAAAAAAAAAACCCCTTAATTTTTACTTACTAAAAAAATAGATTGTAATCCTTGTTTCTCCAGAAAAGGGCCTGGATACGTGACCCAAAGGCACCCAAAAATCTCCGCTCATGTGCACGGCAAGCTGTAATTCCCAAGCCTGTCTCGTGATAGCTGAATATGGGGAGGTTTTTGTGTCGGTAATACTATCTGTCTCGCAGGGAAGAGGAGAAGCCAACCCTATTTATAGCTCACATTCGCTGTCAAATGCTGTCTTTCACAACAGCTTTATAAATGGTGCGGGGCGGATTCTGGGCTGGCACGAAAGAGCAGAGAAAGAGAAGCGGTGCCAATTTGGGTTTGTCAAGAGAGGCGGCGAATAAACCTCACGACAGAGAGACTCGGGAGTTAGGCTTCTTCTACCCTAATGATTTATAAATTCATCATAAAATTGACTTGTAATGGCCATCTTCGTGTGCTCGGTGGAAAAATACAGATTAGGTGTACAAAATTAAAGTAAGAGCATGACAGGAGCAGCTTATCTTGGCTTTTAAACCCAAGAGCTAAATAAAATGGTAACATCCAGAAAAGCACTTTGGTTACATAGGAACTTAATGGAGATTTTCTATAGATTATAGGGGTCCAGAGCCCCTGGGTGACCAGCTCAGGCTTTTGTCTTCTCCCTCTAAACTACCACAAATAAGAGATGGAGCTCCAGCACCAAGAAGAGTTCAGGCAAGTAAAAGAGTGGCGTGGGAGAGGAGGAGAAAAATCACTGCTTGAAAATAGACTTGAGAAATGAGTCCTGACCAGACGCATGGAAGATCTGAAGGCTGCTTTCCTTGAGTCAAATGGGATGGGACCAGTGGGAAGTGCTGCGAAAGCCGCATCCCGGTCTCACCAGCATCCTCATGGTTCACCTGCTTACTCACTCCTGCAGGAGATGTCTGTGGACCGCAGGAGGTCTCAAAGCAAAGGCTCTTATCTGCCTTTTTTGATGTGTTGTCTCTCTCTTACGGTGCTGTTGGGACTGGTTGCCTTCTCCTTCCTTGTCCTCAAGGATGGTTCTGCCTTTTTTGATGTGTTGTCTCTCTCTTACATTGCTGTTGGGACCGGTTGCCTTCTCCTTCCTTGTCTCCAAGGATGGTCGATGGCTGATGGTAATGTCCACGTGGCCAGAAAAGCCAATGGCATCTTGGCCTGTATTAAAAACAGTGACCAGCAGGTCCAGGGAGGTGATCATCCCCCTGTACTTGGCACTGGTGAGGCCGCACCTCGAGTGCTGTGTTCAGTTCTGGGCCCCTCGCTATAAGAAGGATGTTGAGATTGTGGAGCGTGTTCAGAGAAGAGCCACAAGGATGGGGAGGGCTCTGGAGAACAAGCCTGATGAGGAGCAGCTGAGGGAACTGGGCTTGTTTAGCCTGGAGAAGAGAAGGCTGAGGGGAGACCTCATCACCACCTCCAACTGCCTCAAGGGAGGTTGTAGAGAGGTGGGTGCTGGTCTCTTCTCCCAGGTGATGGGGGATAGAACAAGGGGAAACGGCACCAAGCTGTGCCAAGGGAGGTTCAGGTTAGAGATAAGGAGGAAGTTCTTTACTGAGAGGGTTGCCAGAAGCTGGCACAGGCTGCCCAGGGAGGTGGTGGAGTCACCATCCCTGGATGTGTTTAAAGAGCGGGTAGATACTTAGGGATATGGTTTAGGGGGTAGACAGGAGCGGTTGGACGTGATGATCTCAGAGGTCTTTTCCAACTGAGCGATTCTGTGCGTGTGTGTGTGTGTGTGAAGCTGACGAATATCAAGATGCCAGTCTTGGCAGTCCGTGAGTCAAGATGTGTTCACTGAGAGATACTTTGTGGTGAGACAAACCTAATGTCATCCTCTGGCGCCATCCTCCATTGGCACAGGAGGCGTTGGTACCACAAGCCCTGGACCTACTGGAGAAGCCCAGGAGCTGAAGGAGCCCCCTGGCAGGTTGGACCCTGCACACCACAGCCTTGGATCCACCAAGGATGAGCATCAGTGGGCAGAGTTTTGCCTTCCTTTGCCACAAAAATAACCTTTTCTTGGAGGATTAAGCTCAGGTGATCCGCAGAGGGGTAGCATTTGCAAATAATTAAAACTGGGGTTTGGTAGAAAAGAGCAGAGTTTGCTGCCTTAGTTTTTGAAGCCTTTTCTGTCTTCCTGTTTACATAGGACTGACTTAGGATCCATCCGTGATCTCTTCAGGAAAGCCAGGAATCAGTACCTAGATTCACTCCAAAATGTACTTGTTCTCTTCAACAAGGAGGTTGTCCCACACAGCACTACAAAAAGGGATGCTCGGTTTTCTCTTTATTCATTTGCTCAGTGTTTTAGTTGCCTTTATCCATCCTTCTGCATCTGTTGAAGGTACAGTGAAGCACCTTTCTTTTTCTATGCCTTTAAATAAGGCATTTAAACGTGCAAGTCATTTAATCCACACCTGCAAACACTGG